TTTTAGAGTTTAACCTGTAGTTTGTGAAGCAGCGTTGTGCAAGTCACAAAATAATTCAATGCCTAGAACTGTAGTCAATCAGATGAAGAACTTAAAAATACTTTTTACTTAATTACTTAAAAATAGTTTTTCTTGAATAAAATCTCTAAAAATATCAGAATGACACAGGCAGTTCCTCCCATAGGACTTAGCTGAATAACAATTGCCAGCTCTTCGATGTGATGGAGAACATTACATTAAATGATATTACCCCAGTAGAGTTCTGTCCGAAAAGTCTTTTTCCAGTTATGGTGATGCAAAAACGGAGAGAAGAAGGAATTTCAACTTTGAAAAATACTAATTTTTGTTCTATGCTTACACAACTTTTTATTGGAAACTATTATAATGACAAATTTTAGAACTAATTTTATACAAATTGTTCAAAACTAACCATCTTTACTAACACACCCAGCTATTCAATTGAATGAGCAATCCTTAAAAAAGTGTTTGGTTATGAAGATGGTAAAACGCAAGGATAATTCTTGCAAGTACTTACACTGTTATATACTTGTTTCATAAACAACTGATTCAATGACACCATAAACCAAAACCCACTGGCCGCCTATCTCAGAAAGAAATGGGTGGGTGCATCGTCTGTCAAACGATCCGTGTTTCTCTGAACATTAATTAATTCATCCATTTTCACATCAGAAAATTAGGAATTTTTTCCTTCATACCACTATAATTAGAAACAAACTATTTCCAGACATCACACTGGACTCTGAAAAACATTAAATTTCACGTCCTCCATCACGTTGCAGAGTTATTCAGTTCCATTCTATATATTGGATAACTTATTACTCTCTAACAGATTTTTGGAAAATTAATTTTGCAACAGATTTGCAATGTGTTAAAGAACTCTCAGAAAAAGTTATGCCTCTCAGCTAAATTCTAAATGAGTTCCTAGTTCTAAGTCCACTGTCCTACATAGATGGCATTGTGGAATAGGTGTGGCTCCATATTACATGACATTAGACAAATTCATGAGCAAAATAGAAATTGTTAGAACCCTGGCTTACAAGACTCCAATTATAAAAACACAAAGCAGAACCCAATGGTAGGAACTACTCAAATGGGTTCAACAGAACAATAAACACTTAGGGATATTGTCCACACTTTATATTAAAAATACACAGCAAGTTCCAAATCGTACATTCATTCACTCAGCCTATTTTTATATCATCCCAAAACCTTGTCACAACAAAAGAGCAAAATAACATTGGGTTGATTTCTCTACGCCATCAAGCACCACATTTAAAACGAGACAATAACGTTAACTGCAAATATACGACATCATCATTTCACAAAATTTTACACCTGTCATTCAACAGATATGACCACAAGGTTGAACATTCATCTAATGAAGCAAATATATTATCATACTGAACAAATTTTATGAAGCATTGATTATTACCATTTAACTTCACAGCATTTAAATTGAGAAAGACTAACTTCCAAATGGGAACAAATAGGATGTAATTTGTTGTTGATTTTTTGTCATCATTATACTCTATGCACAAGACACAACAAAGAGAAACCTACATTTTTCAAGCAACAAACACGAGACTAAATCCATTGGCACTAGGCATCTTCAGTTATTTACAGAGTAGTCTATATTAACGTACAATGTTCTTAAGAGTTCACGTCCATCAATGTGAATTGTGAAATTACACAGGAAACAGTTTTTGCTTCTGTTTTAATATTAATACTTCATAACGTTGAATGGAAGACTAAACTACATGTCCCCCTCTAAAAGTATCTCAAAATGTATTTTTACTGTAAGATGTTTTTCATTAAATTGTATATTTTTTATCCTGTAATCAAATGCATACTGTTGCAATGTATTCAAGAACTTCAACATGGATTTGCAATGAAATGTACTGTTACTGTTAAGTACAGACAAAACTGAATGATCAAAGCATAAGGGACTAGAGAAAACTCAAATTATCGAAAAATTCAAATTAAAATGTTCTCTCAAATGAGCAGTAAAACATCTCCACAACAGGCATCAGACAGGATCACTAGATAAGCAGTACTCAGATCAATGAGTACACCAACACACAAGCTAAACTCAGTCAGCATTATATAAGTTTTTCCTCTAGTGGTACTTAACAAAATAATATGATTATATTTCTACACTGGCATTGTCTAAAAGGATAACACAGAACAACTCAAAGAATGCATACAATTACACATAAAAGAAAATATAAATACGGAGTACTGCACATGAGAAACAACAAGAGTTGAAGTTAAAGTTTAAAAAACTGACAAGTGACATTTCGTGAAGACTTTTAAGCATCCTGATTATCAAATACTGTATATGTATTTTCACAAACTGAAGTGAGAACCACAACAAAGACAATCATAACTTGGAAGTATTACTTGCATTATCAATACTTGAAAGCAATCTGAAATCTTAATTCAAGTTCCAGACGCAAAAGAATAACAATGACCACAACAGGCACCATACACCACCAGTGAAAAATGTCAAATCACACAGAAAAAAAGAGCCAAGATTGAGTAAAACTTTCTGTCCAACATGAAATATAAAATAGTCTACCATTATAATCAATCAATAATATACCATCAATGACGATCTTATCTTCGATCAATGAAAAGATTCATTAACATTCCATTAGCGATAACTAAATTCCTACTGTTCAAAACCTAATGCTAACATAAATAAAGGACTCTAGAACAACAAATTTTGCATATAAAATTTTATTTGAAACTTAATATATCAACTGATCAAAAGAATTACGAACTTTAATCCGACTCCCCTAGCAAATATTGAAAGGATATTAACACAAATTACAATCAATATTGTGAACAGAAAGGTACTTATGATTTCTCAATTTTGATAAATTAATTAAACATTACCTATATTAATAATTTGCATGGTGTGCAAAAATTGAAAGAAAACTATGCAGACATCAGTTATGTGAGAGGTGTGTCTGGATTTGTAACATATCCAGCAGGAAAATTCAAAAGCATCCACACCATTAATTTTCCAGAGTGGCCACTCATTTCCTGGAACAAATTTCACCGATGTCTCCCGGTTTTCCAGTGCAGTTTTTTCCCTGTTACGATTTGTAAATTGACACTAATTAAAGAAAATACTAAGCTAACTTCATACTAATTGGTCAGCTGTCTGATTTTGATGAGAAAGTAAAAATTAACAATATTTTCTCACCAAATAAAAACTGAGCAAAAAAGAATGATGGTTTTCTTTTTCTTTTTTCTCAAAAAAGAATGATGAACTAATGGTTTTCAACTACTCAGGTTTTATAACCCTCTTAAAATTTCCCCCGATAAAATTTCATTGGGCCTGTGAGTGTAGTGTACGTTTTTGTGCAGAAGGTGGCAGTGAACTTTGCTGGATGGCGAGATCCAGCACCGACCTACAAAATGGCTTGTGGGTTATCCAAACCAGGTATCTCCCACCTGTGGGGCACCGATTCAGCTGGGACAAACTCTAAGCTCCCGACGTGTGGTAGGGTAATGCAAGTAAATGGAGTAAGTGGAGAGCACAAGTAAGCAGAAGGAAGGAAGGATTGTGTGCAGTCCATGGCCCATTTGTTAAGGTACTGCTCAAGCATTCATTTGGTGTCGACTAGAGAAACCACAGACCACTGACCAGAGCATCTGCTGTTAGAATTCTCCACTAGACAGCGGCTGATTCATTCATTTTTAAAAAGTGGCCACCCTCTTCCATGTGAATAAAAATTGAAAGAAAACTACAAAGCTGCCAGCCGTGTGGAAAGTGTCTATGGTTTTGCTAGATACCCAGGAACTTAATAAAAATTCAAAAGCAATGGGGGAAAAAAAAGTGGCTGCCTGCCATTAAATATTTGCTATTCATGTGTTGCGATATAGAAAAGCATTTTTGATATTCTTGGTATATAAAGAACAGTTGCACAGTGAATCACGCTAAAATATATAATATTGTAGACATCATCAAATAAAGCAATTTATATATGATTAGCTTCCAGTTTAATAATGGTCTCTAACAAATCACTTTATGAAATTAAATGTTTTTCAAATTTTTAAACTTACATGTACGTGAGAAATAAGAAAAGGTAAAAAATTATTTGAGTTCTTCAAGAAATCAACAAAAAGTAATTGAAAAGAGCCCAATATTAAAGCCTGTTATTACAATGAAAGCTGTGTGGTGGTTATTCATGCATGTGTTACAGCTAATGTTCAAAATTGGCTAATTTTGTAGTTAATGTTTACATTATCCAAAACGGGTGGCTTCAGTTCAGAGGCAGAACAACTTTGAAGGATAGTTCGGAGTTTAGGTGGATAAAATGCACTTTACATAACAAGACTAAAGTACATTACGGAAACGAGGTATACCATGTTATGTGAAATACATGAATTTTACTGCTTGTGGGAAGTTTTTAAGACTAGGGAGCGACAAGAATAGTTTCAAGTTCCACTGTGCCAACTATAAATTTCTATTTACCTAATACCACCTAACTACAGTACTACCACCTACTACACTGTTGATGTTTTGGTACTCGCTTCCTAAGTACGCAATGAGACTAACTGTCAAACAGCCTCGAGTCTGTGTGATGCATAATTTCCACTGCATTTTGGTATCAAAATACTATTTATGAATATTCAAGACTCCTAACACCAGACAATCTTATTGTAGCTAGCACTAATATCGGCTAATGCCAATATTAAACGGATGATGTCCAAAATGATCTATCCTAATTTAAACAGCTTTAACCACACTCTGATTAATTTGTGAATTAATTGGGTTATTTGCAAATTAGCCATACTTCCTACATTAGCTGTAAAACATGCCCACATATTGTTCACAAAGATGGAAAACAATGGAACAAACCTTTTGTAATTTTTAGGTAAACAAAATATTAAAGAAGTCAATATTTTCTTTCCACAGAGAATAAAAGTCATAACTCAAGAAAATAAGCATTACAAATATCTCATACTTTAATCAAGGTTTTAACAATTGAAACAAATCCTATGATTCAAAAAAAAAAAATTACATAACAGAAGAAAAACCCTGGTCATTGAGACAAGAATAGCATCTACAAATTAATAGAGGAAAGCTAACACTGCATAACTTATTAGGGATAGCAGGTCAATGGTAAAAACAAACACCTCTTCAGCAAACAGAATGAATAATATTGATGAATCACTTGGAAGACTGCAAAAATATACATACAAGGGGGTCATCATGCTACTTTGTCCTTGTTAACTGGTAAATACAATTGAGATCAAGGAGTAAGTTACATGATATTCACTAAAATGTGCTTTAAGCATCATAAAATCCAAAACAAAGGCAGATAACACATAAAAAATGTATGAAATATTTCCATTTACAAAAAATCAAAACATGTTATGGAGTACAAGTACAAAAATAGAGTAGATATCTTTCTGAATGGTAATTTGTAAATATTAATATTGTTACAAAACCTAAGAGTGTAAAATAAAAATCCATTAACTATCAAAACAGACCAATTCAAATATTCACATAGTTGGAAAATTATGATCAAGTAATACTCATATTAACTCAAGGTAAAACACTATGTTATTCTTAAACTGTGGAATTATTTTTTGCTGCAAATGTGCTCACATCTTCAAAATTTTTTTTAAAAAATTTCTATTGTCAACATGTAAAAAGTTTTTGCAGTTTTCTATCCTTTTGTAAATGATTTCTGAACTAAACCAAAGGAAAGATATCTCTCTAATGTTTACACTTTCACGGCAATCTTGCCATACAACTTTAATACTGTACTCTCCAACACCTTTACTGATAAAACATCAGGGTTTTGGCCACAACTGATAATGAGCACAAAAAAACAACACCAAACTATCATATAATAAAAAAATTTGTAAATCTATACTTTTGGTAGTTGTTGCAGTTTCAATTAGTTTTTGAAATATAATAAAAGAAGAAAAAAAATGTATTGCAAGCATTCAAGATAACCCCAATTTTTAAAACTAAAAGAGCAAATGAAAGTAAATGTACAATCTGAGGTAAAACCATTTATGTGCCTTATTCTGAATTAAATAAAAAGTTAATACTTCTACAGAAGCTATACCTATATTTTAACTGTTTAGTGAACCCTTTGTAGTTTAGAAGCCAGAATAAGTGTTTGCAACAGACTACTAACAGAATAAAGAATGATTTTACAGAAACACAATGGCTTTGGCCATAATATATTTGAGAGACAATATGTGTACTACAGTTCAAGAGAGAAACTATTGTTTCACAAAGAATAGGAGAAAATTATCAATTAAATCATATACTCTCTTTAACGAACTCTGCATATTACATATATTTGACGACTCTTCAATCTGTAATTTCATTTAGTAGTACCGGTTTCCTCAGAAGTGACAAACGATATCTCTTAGTTCCTTCACTGCATTTTATAATTGAAATTTCCACAAATTTGCAAGAACAGGCAAGAGAAAACTACAAGCTTTTCAGAATAGATTTACAGGGAAAATGATGTGCTGCTCATTACAAGATTAGCTTCAATTTTAGAAATTATAAAAACGCCACCACAATTTTTCTTTGGAGTGTATGTACAAATTTTGAAATTTTATGATCTTCTGAATAATACTTTTACATCACTTTTAAGAACATTTCTAAGATCTTTCTTCTTGTTATTATTCTGAAATCTGACTGCCATTTTTATTCATGGGCATACGACTTTGGTTTTGTGAAAAAAAATTTGAGTTAATAGATCAAACTGTAACTAGTTTGACAGGTGATTTACAATGAAGAATGTAATTCTTCTACATCAGATATAGACATTCAACATCCATGATTATTTTGGAAGTAATCTGAAACATTTTTACAATTCACTAATGTCAGGTTGGTAGGATTGATACTACAGAGTAATCCACATTATGACACTACTCCAAAGCATCTTGAAGTCTCCATTGTTCATAGGGTCACACTTCTGTTGTCACAAGGTAGGTTCGTTGTCAAGGAGTCAAATGAAGTGAATACTTCATGACTGGTTAAAAGTTGGCATAAATCATTGTCACAGTAAGAAGAGATTAGTAAATAAAATTGTCCTGCAATTCAAAAATTAATGTTATTACTTCTTCCTTGTGAATTTTCAATAGCCCCAATAATTAAGAGATACACAACAAAACAGAAATGACAATGATCAAAACGAAAGCAGCACCGACAAAATGATAAGTTCAAACAGCCCACAAATACATCAACATTACAGCACAAAAAGGAAAAGATAGCTGTAAGATAGATGCAATCAAGCTGTATTCTGTAATGCTAAAATATGCTACAACAGTTAAATAAAATATTTTCAACTTTGTTTTCAAAATATTGGATTAAAAGATGAAAGTAAAATGGAAGTGTTCCACCAGAACCACAGTTCACCTGATTCTCCAAACATCCACAAAACAGGTTTCCCATCAAATACCAACAAGAAATTCAATATCAAAACCAAAAAATTAACAAAGGCCATAACAATCCTTGAGTAAAGTAAATAATCAAGAGTTATTTAAAAGAGTGAGGGGAAAGAATTAAAGGCATGCACCTACTTATTATTTAAATAAGCTCACCAGTATCACTTATTTTTGTTTGTTTAGTCTGGTTACGATGTTTGTTGGCAGGACCCCATATTCGTACAGTGCAGTCATCTGATACCGAAGCTAACATTTGATGGAATACTGGGTTCCAGGAGACACAGTTGACTGTACGAGTGTGACCTATTAAGGTGGCAATAGGTAATTCCCTCTTGATGTGCCAAATATATACTTTATTATCTGTAACAAGGAAAGTGTGTCTAGAAACTTACTAGAAATATTTCCAAAGCTGAAATTCAGTCTCCTTAGAGTTAAAGTAAATTTTTGAGAATAACTCCAAAAAATTGCAACACAACATGCACAAGTATTTATCAGTAAAAAATATATTCAACCCAAAAAAATGTCTTACCTTCACTTCCACTAGCCACAAAATCTTGATTAACTCCACCAAAACAACTGTGTATAGTGAAGTGACCCTGAGTAACTCCCTGAAATTTCCGAACTAAGCAGCGATCTTGAAGATCCCACAAATGAACTCCTTGAGTAGCAACATTGAGCAAAGCCAATCTGTCAGCGGAGTTAACTGAAAAGGCCATCACTGGATGGTCCTCTTGCAAACTGCACAGATAATTAATCACAAAATACATATTTCCTCATTTATATACATTACGTCATAAATGTCCAAAATCATTTCAAAGGCTTTAGCCCTAGTATTAGAATACATTTTTTCATGCATTACTGTAAAATAACTGAGGTATTCTCTAATTTACTGTAACATAACTGGGGTATTCTTGAATTTACTTCCAGAATTTTATAATACATAAAAAAATTAAAATATTTCATGGTTTTGCACATTACATTAAAAGTCTTATCAGCTGAACAACTGGGTACAATGGTATCTCTCATCAAAGAAAGAAAACAGAAAGAAACAATATCACCAATCTCTTAAGGATTTATCAAAGTAACTCCTTTTAGTCGTAACTTCCATCAATTAGTATATCATTATTGAAAACCAGTAGATTCTGGATTTATCATTGACTTCCTGGAGTTATTTCCATTATGGTTACCTTTTCAACAATTCATATTTTATTATGTTTATTATGTTGTTCGTTATTTATTACGTTTTAGTTTCTTACTTGAAATTCCATTTAACTATTTTATTTCAAATAGTTCTTTACAGAAAAGGAGTATCACTACATTTAAATGGATTACCATGGCTATGGTCTGAACACACACTACTTTCTTATAACGATTGCATTTTGCGCATTTTTGTGATTGCACAATCACATTTTCTCTTAGTGCTGGCACACATTTTTCTTACGCAAAAAATTAGACTTTATTCAAGATATTTTTTACATTTGCTGAATTTTAAAAGTCAAATTACACAGCTATTCCTCTGGGAATAAATAAAGTCTTAAGCCTTATTGTAATAAGATCTTATGTATCAGGATCTTTTGGACATTTATGACATTCTGAATTCACACAAAATTGTGCCATGAATAGTAACAAACACTCACATGTTTGAGTCTGTTAGTTCATCAAAATTGTAGCTTCTGACACGATGATGAGTATCAGCAGCTAATACAGTTCTGCCGTCTTTGCGGCACCAAAGACAATTGACTCGCACTCCTTCCCAAGAGTCCAGGACATTACCTTCCAGGTCCTGAAGTACAAGGAAAGGTTCAAGGAATGAAGATCATATAGAACCTGTGGTTAATTCACTCACTTCCTGAATGATTTCACTAACACTTACACATTGATAAAACTGTCCTCGAATTCCTCCTGTGACAAATTTTTTTCCATCACGGTGCCACGAACACGAAGTCAAAGAATCTTCGGGAGAATGCGAAACTTTCACTCGAAGTTCATCAGCTTCAATATTCCAAATCCACAGTTCTGGACAATCCTCAGGACCGCAGGCAATAAGGTGTGTACTGTCTGGACTCCACGCAATGTAGGCAACTCCATAGGAATGACCTTCCAGGGTCTTCCGGTGGGTGCACGTCAGCGTTTCCTGCACAGTGCAGGTACGACCAGTCAGTGTCAAACCTAGAACAGACGTCTGACTATGGGGGAAGAGGGTTCAGCCACGCAACCAGATGTGGGCACAGTAGTGGGATTTGGTGAAAAAGGAATTACGGGACAGGATAGATCTCACCTGACTTGTGCTCTTTTTAGCACTAAACACTTAATAAGTTTCCAGCATCTGCTTGATGTCACCAACATCCCTGGCACTGTGCACCAACCAGTCAGTTGTAACGTGCCATAAGAAACATCAAATATGAATGAAAGTGTCTTAATGAAATAGACACCAAACAATATTTCTCTGACTGCTTTGAGCACTGACTTTGTATTATCTAAATAATATAACAAACCACTGAAATCGGTACTCACAGGGTCTACATCCCATATAACAACAGTAGTGTCTTTTGACCCTGTGGCCAACTTCAACCCATCAGGAGAAAACCGACAAAACCATACTTCATCACAATGGTCATTAAGGATTTGTACAGTCTCGCACGGAAATTGTTCCCTGAAAACAAAATGATACAACATAAAAACATTTCTTTATGTGAAAATCAAAACCACTTATTTTAGAAACTTTCGCCACTCACCTTGTACAGTGGTGGTCCACTAATAAAGACACACTACTTAAACCATCTTCGGTCAAAGTATTATGATAAGGGCATTGGTGTTTCTGATGTTCCACAGCCTGGCATAACAAAGTATATAGTCTGAAAGACACAAACAAAACTAAAAATAATATTAATTGCTTATAAAATACCAAGGCAATCACAAAGGATTAAATTGGAGCTGAAAAACATTATCTCTCTCTTTAATTCATTCAATTTATCATATAGGATCTTTATGACAACAAAATTATTTATTGCTATCTTCTTTCCAATATTTAAAACATCACACTGCATACAGTGAAAGAGATTCTCTATCTAGGAATCATGTGAAAATAATTCCAAACAACTGGTATTTTCAAGCACCATAAACATATTCATTAATATTTAAGAAACTTATTTTCCATTCCCAGATGCACACATTCAAGTGATTGTATTACTAAACATGATTATAATCCAGGTTTGTTTTTATTTCTATTGGTTCATACACTTGGCTTGCATGTCTATGGGGCTGTCCATACATTATGTAATGCCAAAGAGGGGGGAGGGGGTTTGATGCGCAAATACACTGCGTTTCAAAGGGGTGGAGGTAAATTAGTTTAGCATTAATATTATTTTTTCACATTTTACACAATTTGCCAAAATTATTTAATTTTTTTTTAAATCTCATACTAAAACATTAAAATATTAACTAATTAATTTATTTTAAAAACATAAATAAATTAAATTTTGTAGATGTAAATTGTTACAATATATGAAAATATTTTTTCATCAATTTTTTTATTGAATCTGTAAGGTTCAATGAAGAAGTAAATATTGAAACTAATTTGTAGTTCATTTTAAAATCTTTAAATTAGCATAGTAGACTCTTGCCCATGCATCACCCATAACAGGAACGTCTACATGACTTGGGATCAAAAATTTTCTCAGCTACGCGACCTTCCTTCACTAACTACCTTTCCCCAGTCTTTGTTAGGTGCAGTCAGCATCAGCAACTAACTCAGACTTTAATTATCATAAATTTAAATATACAACACAAATAAAAAGAATACAATTTTTTTTTTTCTGTGCTATAGTTTTTTTCATTTCTTGTATTTATAAGAGGGGAGTATTGTCTCAAGCATTACATAATTATTCAGAGGGAGTTCATGTGCACATTACAGGTGCATTACAAGAGGGAGAGGGATGGGGTAATTCAAAATACTCCAAATTTGTGTTATGTAATTTATGGACGGCCCCTTAAGTTTTATATAAAGGCAATAATACATTTATCTTTGAATTGATGCACACACCAATTTTTTTTTTAAATGAGATTTTTGAATCAAGCCACCATTTTAGTCATAGTATGTCTAAAGTATTTAATCCAAAGTACAATTGTATAAAAATACCTTTGAATTTGCATCATTTACCCGCTGCTAGAGAAGTGGTTCTGTGTATTTTAAACAAACTTCTGAGTGGTGAAAATGGTGAACAGTGAAAAAAGCAAGCTCTAACAGAGGCTAGTAATATCAAAATAGCTGGACTTTCATAATGTATTTAAAATGAAATATCCTTGTGCATAAAGCTTACTTCTCTCAATCCACCAATATTTCTACAATTTTTAGAAAAGGGTGGGCACGATTACATGCTTGTGTAAATAAAAATAAAAAGGCAGGCTGTGATATATTTTCAAAATAATTGCACATTTGCAAGAATTTTAGAACTAAAACTCCTATGAGTAGGACATATTTCAGAAGACATCAATATTTACACAATTTTTAGGAAAACGTGGGTACTATTGATGATTTAAGCAAAAAGCACTGCATCACCCAAAATCCTTCCGGGAACCAACAAATTTCGCACGTTGGGCGGAATCTCGCAAAATTAATTTTCTTTCCGCCAGTTGACGCCTTTTATCCACCCAATTGGCGGGATTCCGCCATATACGGTATTTCTGTACTTATTACAGAAAAAACTGTCTAAGCCGGAATCGATCGGGAAAAATCCGGTTTGGGGAGGTTTCCTTTTTATGCAAGGTTGTCCATTTTATGACATATTCGTTTCTTCCTTGAGAGTAGTAAATTACATGACTTTGTTATAGTTATCAAAATACATCCATATATAACACATTAACGGAAGAAACCAGCAAATAAATAAATATTACACACTGACAGCTGAGTTGAAAAATATACACCTTACTGGCTGTATTCGGAGAGTTTGCTGAATCTTTCAACGCACAATGAGTCACAGCCTAGTACTATACTTGGATTTTTCAGAGCTGCGTGTGAAGTAAATCAGCTGTTGACGGTTTCATCCAATCGAGAGCTTAAACGTCACTGTTGTGACATTGGATGAAACCGTCAACAGCTGATGAACTTCAAACGCAGCTCTAAATAAATCCTTCTCTACGACTTTCTTCACCTACCCTCATACGGTCTTGAGCAATGCGTATCTCGTCGAGGGGTTATGATGTTTCAACGCGAGGCAAGGAGACGCGGGAATAGAAGCCATGACCGTCCACCTGCCCACGCTCAGTCAGGAGAGGGGGAATTCCACGGCCTACGCCTCGAGATGAGAAACCGGCGAACCCAAGGTCGAATTCTACGCGTCCCCTCTCCTTCAACATCAACGCCTTCTGCCACGACTAAATCTCATATCACAGAGATACAGAATTTAAAACACGCTTGCAAATGCATTCATTTCATTAAGAAGATCTTGAGTTTCTCTGCCAACGGCATTAAATTCACAAGAATTTCGTTTTATAATCCCCCCCCCTGTGCAGGATATGAAAAACTTCCGTTTCCGCGTTGGAGACGTTCCTTTTCTATTTGCTGAGTGAAATGCCATTTAACTGCAGGGACGGTGAAATTTTCCGCTTAACGTAGTTTTCCAGCTTGCGAAGTTTCCTATTTGGACAGATTTCACTGTACTTGCATTATTCTCCTATTAAAATTTTAGTACATCAGACAGGTGATCAACTGGGACGCGGTTATTCAATCGAAGCCCCAAATTTTCGAAATCGACATCCCAGCTGATCGTCTGTCAATGTGCTTAAATTTTAATCTGTGAATTCGTTTCTTTGCTCCATCAAATTAGTAATTAGCCACCTTTCGCATCGCAGTATTGAAGAACTGAATTTATTGAAGATAAACAATGAATTTGGAGTCTTTAAGAGTGGAACAGAAAACAATAAATAACGCCCAACATAACCGAGACATGAGGAGCTGTACACGTGCAAAGTAATGAATGGTAATGAATAGCCAAAAAACTTAAACCTATAGGAAATAACCGTCATTACAGATCATGTCCCATCTGGTAGAGAACTTATTATTTTATTATTAATACGCCTTATTTTAGTGAATTCATTTCAGTGTATTTCGGGAACATTAGGTCGGAAAATTATGCGCTGCATAGAAGTTGATTTTGTAAATCGCGTAGGCCGAAACCTCGTTATCAACAAGCAACGCTCAGCGAAACAAATCAACTTCATCCTCAAATAATTTGGCACGACAGAGATACGCTTACACCGTTGTATTAGGTTATAGGATTCGTAAGCAGATTCGCGTTGTCGTTCTAGTGATGGCGAGTCTCTTCCTGCACGTGGGGCACGATACGGAAAAAGAGATGAATATTTTGAAATATACTCTTATTTATTTACATATTTTCTACATATCTTGTTGGATAAATAAAACTTATTTTGTTATTCCTTTTTTCATCTAGTAAGGTTATGTACAAATAAAGAAGGGAGGTAATCTGTAAATAAGAAGTTTTAATTAAAATAAACTTTAATTGAATTTTAATGTATTTAATTTACTTTCTTATTGAAAAATATCACGAATTGAATTAATTTCAATAATTCAGGTATGTTTTTATTTTGTTTCTCATGAGTGCAAAGATGAGTAAGAAACAGGTGGTCGTTTAATCTCCTGCATCTGCCACACCTAGTTTTCTTCAAATTTATATTGTTTCTTGCAATCAAAATGGCACACAGATTTATAAACTATGTACTACTTAGCATCATTTCATACAAGATTGAAAAAATTGTTTAAATCTTTAACTTCCTACAGAGAAATAAACAAATAATAATTTTTCGATGGTTAGTGTTCTCTGAAAACCACTTGCCCAAATACATTATTTTAAAGAAAAATATTTTCATGGTTATTTATGGTTGACAATAAATAATACATCACAAGACGCTTTGAAACAAAGGAAAGTAAGTTACAAAATTATAGATGTAATAATTCTTCTCTTTATCGAATATGACAATAAATATGTAGGATGTAGAAAGGGATATAGGTAGATATGTGTAGCAAATGTGTAGTAAGGGATATAATATGTAATATCCAATTTATAGAACATTTACGAGCAAACAAAATAAATTTAAAAAATTTGAAACTACACTAATAAAATATTTATAAACCATTTTAATAATCAATGCTGCTTAGCCTTCTGTTTTTTTACAAATACAGTTTCATCTTTGAGAGCAATGACGGCCACCCTACTATCATGGTAACTGTGATTGCCAAACAATCACTATAACACTGCCTTCCTAGAGTTCTGTGTCCATGAAAAATATTTCATGGAAATTGCGATAAAAGATAGAAACACAATGTCAGTGATGCTTTCCACGTTTAAAGGTAATATTCTCTGCGCTAATGTGCATTTGTCGCAAGATGGCATGCAGATGGAGGTAAACCCATACAGACATTGTTCGACCGCGTCTTCGTCTGGGGAAACTTGTGTAGTCAGCACACAATTTTGAATTTGTGGAAGAAAAAATATGCAGATTTTTTAATTAAAAACTATTTTTCAAAATTCATTAAATTTTTTTGCAAAATAAATTCCAAGAAAATTGGTAGAATAATATAATTTGATCACAGTAAGTAAAATAAAAACAAAATATGTAAAAAAATGAAATGAAAAGTTTGGGAATTGGTTTGCATTGTCATGATCCGCCATTTCAAAATTTTGAAACAACATAGAAACAAAAAAATGTTATTTCATAATTATCCACATTTTATAATAGTTTAGCCCCCTGATGACCAGAAGATAACTGCTTCGCCCATGGAGCCCATGCAATGACCTTGATTTCCAAAAGCACAATCAATGAGTCATGATAAACTTTTAGGAGGATAAACGCTTCGAACCATGAGGAAATAAATGACAGATGGCAGAAGATACCTCTCTTTTGTAACATAATAAGTTTGTGGTAAAGAGTTAATATAAAAAATAACTATCTATTTACACATTTAAGTAGAAGAAGCAAAAACTGATGTGCAAAAAAAGGGAAAAAGAAGGGAAATTACCCCCCAAAACTCTGAACTGCAAAATACCCTGTAAATGTAAAAAGTCAAAGAAAGTGTCATATGCAATTTACTGTTTATGTATACAATTATTAATATTATATACAATTATACACATTTAGTAAGTATTATTATTATTATTATCATTATTATAAATATTATTATTATTATTATTATTATCATTATCATTATCATTATTATTATTATTATCGCATTTAATGAATGAAAATGAATTATCTTACTTATGAAGCAATATCTTACAAATTTTCTATATTTGTTTCAATAAATTTAAACACAAATTTTTGATAAATTACATTAAAGACATAACTTGAATTTATACACCAAATTACATTATTTCAAAATGTTAGAATACCTCTATGAAACAAAAATGTCTTTTCTACTACACAGCATATCCTGCAAGTAAATTACAACCTTTCCCAGATTAACGTGAATTTAAAGAAAATGAGAATTTTTTCCATGAATTTTAGTAACAGACACAATGGGTAATGACATTAGTCATTACCAGTCAATGGGTAATGACATTTGACAATAGTCAAATAGTATGTGTAGTAAATCACATTATTAACCACTTTATAAATAACTTTTAAAAATAAATTTCAAATTTTTTTATTCCAAAAAAACAGACTAGTAAATTTTCTTTATGTTACTTATTTTAATTTGTAAACTATATTTAAAAAGGATTCTCTTGTCTTGAGTTTAAAGCAGACAGAAAATTTTTAATATAATGAAAAATTTGGTAAAACATGACGATCTACCAGCACAAATTTCATTGCTTTCCGGATTATATCTCTCAAGCAACTTTTAGGAATTGCTCTGACTTAAATTTTATATTTTTGATTTCCAAACGATGAATCACCATCTTTAGATATAAAACATAATAAAAAATTCCAAAATTAAAAAATATGTCACTGCAACAGACTCTTGAAATGGACAGAAATCTTTTGATTTCCTCGCCTTTCATTGAGCAGACTATTTCAATGTTCCACGAAGCGAAAATATTAGTGTCAAATCAATTTTATTAAAGCCAAGTCAATACACTCTGAGGAAATTAAAAAAAATTGCATATTAAATTAAAAACGTTAGCCTTTGAGTGGTTACTTCCCTTTTTCAAACATAAATTTCTGTGGAAACATTCCGATTACGGTAATTTTAAAAGTTCATAACTCATTTCTTGACATTAAGAAAAAGTTCAAAATATGTTAGTACACAATTTATAGAATAATGTGCATTTCATACAGACATATGCAATATGTAATTGCAAGGAATTACATAATGTCTAGCGTTTTAAATAGATACTATTTGTTTTCTTTAAATGTATATTTTTAGAACACAAGAATGGGCAATATACTACTTCTACCCACAGCCATCAGAGTTGTTTTTTTTACACATTTCCCAACTCATTTTCTGCATACTACATTGTGTTTTTGTTACACATCTGGGGTTATTACATTTGGGGTTACAAAATATCTTATTTGAAACAGATTAACGACAAAAACCGATTTAAATGGCATTAATAGTAAATTCTCAGTTTTGAAACACCTTTATCCAGCAATCCATCCAGCAATTATCTAGATCTTCGACTAGCATTTTAGTATGCTTACTATCTAGATTGGACTGCCAAGAGCCAAGAAATTCAGAAAAAACTGAATGTTTTACTTCATCAAATAAGAGTTTTGAAAATTGTATATGTTCCACTTAACTCATTTATGTCACAATCACATCAATACAATATCGATATATTTCAAAGAGCACAAGTGAGCAGCATAAGTGGCTTGCTGAGACCTTGACAATACGCTTTCTACATAAAACAGTTTCTTAATGTTAAATTTTTATATACATGATTCCTGACATTTTTTAAGTTTTAAAAGTGTAAAGAAATAAATTATTCAAGAAAGTACACCTACCTGCGAGGAGGCAACATGATTGTAGGAGGCAAGTATGTTTGTAATTTATCCATAAGTTGAGTCCGTGATTTTTCACCTTTACCATCCCAATTCGCACGCAACTGTAGTTCCTCACGTCCATTGCACATCATGTAACTGGCAAACATTAAAATTACTTTGGAATCAGAAAATTACTCCCATCTAAAAACATTTCAAAATTTCATCCCTTTTTAAGCTTCACCTGCTGAGTACGTGAACACGATTTGTGTTGTGCTGTAATGGGGTTAATTCATTGCGAAGTACATGAAGCGCATCCAAAACACGCCCGTCTTCCAGGTATTCTAAATATTTTTGTTCCAATAGGAGAAATTTCATTTCCTAATGCAAAAAGAAATCTTATTTTTATACTTTGAAATTTTAATTGTTTATTAATGTACATTTATAAAGTCATTTAATAAAATTTAACAACTACAAAACATTCCTTAAGCATATCCCAAATAATTGAAACTTACCACGAGGCTCTGTGATGAACTATCCAATAAAGTTTTCAATTCCATTAAATCATGCTCAGCCTGAAAAATACATCAAATTAGAAGTAATAAACTACACTGTATTTCGTATTACTTTGGCAACATTTACATAAAAAATAATTCTGAAATACTTATTTCAATGGTAATTTTTGTAAACAAATTTTTATTTAGACACTTTTTAATTGCTACAGTAAATTTAATGAGATGTTATTCCTTTTCACTTGATTAAAGTTCAAAAAAATTCCATTTGTACATACCATTATCACCAGTAACCTACACTCATCAAAACATCACAGTCAAAGGTATTTGAATGAAAGTTTAAATGTAAGCAAATTAAGTTGAATCCAACACCCAAGCTTCTTAAAATTTTCTCCAGTTACCAAAATGTCTTTATTTTACAAACTTAAATTTGTGTCTTTAAGATGATTTCATTACACACTATTATATAAACACAATTACATTACACCAAGTGCCACAAATAGATATTTCCTATTAAACAATTTTATTTCCAGAATTTATTTTTATTTTAGGAACAGAATCATGGATATTTTATTTGTGTAAAAATGTTTTTAAATAAAAAAGGGCTTATCTGACATTATTACAAACTTTTCAGACATTGTACTGTAGTGTCGTCGTTTCTAGATTCCAAAAATTGCTAAGAACCATGCAAAAATAATGGTTCTTATCTTTGAAGACAATGACATTTACAATCAGAATGTTACTATGCCAAATACAAATTGATGTAAAATAGACTATAAAACAAGCAATGTAATCACCTTGGCCCAATCACCGTCCATAACATGCTGTCGAAATTTAGCAGCTGCAGGATGATCTAATCGACATCCAGATTCTTGCATAAGAAGGTCTGCTGTACGACTGCAAAGTAAAACATAAGAATATTCATCTGAACTGAAGCATATTCTATACATGTCATTCAACAAATTCACACGATCTGCAAATAACTACTTATTGTTGCCCTCTGTACACCTTAACACTTTTCTTTCATTTGCAATTTTATTACATGTTGGTCACTAATCTGATTCAATATGCAATTACTTCCACCATTTGCACCTCAAGAAGCATTCACTATCAGCTTCTATGTGAATATAATATATAGTCACTTTGACTATATTCATTTTACATTCCATGAGAAAATTCACAAAACAGAGTTCTTGTTCACATTGACATGACAACAACATCTTTAATAAATAATATTTACTACTGGCTGGTTTCACAAAATCTTGACTGTATTCATGTTTTCATGTTTTTTGTGAGCATAATCATGTATTAATGTTTCTTCGAGACAAAGACAAGAGAATTTGAAACTAACAAATGAATGTTAAATTAAAAGCACTTGTGGAAAATTTCAAAAATATGACCAATAATGAAGAAAAAGGAACTTTCTGTGGTATAAAACAAACTATGTCTTTCTCTAGAAAGCATTTGGTCGCTAAAATATATACTGTGTATCAGGAGTAGTCAATTATCTAGGTGAGACAGTAATTTAATGAATAAAGTACATTCAATGAAACAGTGAACAAAACTGAATAAGAGCATAAATGAACAAACCAAGAAGCCACTGCTGTGAGAAATATTCAAGTAAACTCCCCTCCTAGAACCGATTACTAATTCTATTAAATAACTATTCCTCATAAGAGATGAAGTTCATCTACTCCACAAAACACACTGTACATAATTACCCAACAGCATTCTCTTGGAAATTGCCAAAAACTGCCTGAAGGCAAAGTGCTGTAAGGGTCAAGTATGATAAAACTTGACGTTTATGTTCACGTCTCTTCATAAAAAACTAACGTTGTCTTTTATGGCACTTGGAAGGAAGTTTCAAGCAATTCTGTAACAAGTTATGTCAAGATGCCCATAATGTACCACAAGTAACTTGCAAATGAAAGCATAAATCTCTCCTATTCGTGATTTAAATACCTTTGTGTGCAACAGAAAAAAGAAATTCTCTTAACAAAGGAAGAACAAAAAAATAAATACTAAAGAAACAATCAAATTTCAAGAACATTGACAGCTTCTGAAGTAATCCTAAACTAAGGTCATAATATTTCAGAAAGATAAGAAATTGTAAATAACCAATGACATAGACCTTTTCAAGCACTATCTTGCCCAGAAAATAACTAGTGGCAACTTTTTAAATTTTCAAATATGCAATGTATATGTTGGCATAACTCCCAGACACATTCCAAATGAGAAATCAAAAATGAGTTGTGTATTCATAATTTTTTCTTCTTTCACATATGTCCAAAAACTAATACTACTTAATACTAAATATCACTTTCCCATCAAAACATTCAAGTCCAAGTTTTGACCTTCACCATCCTCTTTATAGGAACAAAGGATTCAACAGCTAATATCAAAATTGATATAATAAAATGTGAATTTAGAGTAAGTATTAAAACAAAACTGAAGTCAATAGTACACAGCAGTTTATACATATTGCCTCCAGCAGTTCTGAATCTTTTCAATAAACCAAATAAATCAATATTCACAAAGTATTTGTAAATATATTAATATTGTATAACTACTTGCTACCTCAGTCAGGAAGTGTCATAATCAAAGTAAATCTCACATATGAGAACATAATAAGAAAAAATCTATGTGACATTTAATTACAATTCCCCAACTACAAGTTCTTTGTTCAGTATTAAATGCATGTGTGGCATAAACAGTGAATTAATACTACTAATAATAAGTTATCAGTAGAAAAGACTAATTATTAAATTTTATATAAGAGTATTTCTGAACAGGATCCTTCTTAGACTTTTCACATTTCCCAATAAAAGTTTCACCACCACAATTAGAATGCAAAAAAGGAAAAGTATTGTAAAGAACAATAGTAAAAAGACAATGGCAATGTTCATACAATCCATCTGTCAAACAAAAAACAATAGAAATTTCTTCCATGGATTGATTGTAGAGGAACATTTTTGATTATTAATTTCACATTGAAATGTTCTATAATGAAGTTATATGAAAGTGTTTCTCCTGAATAAACAAAATAATCATGGAAGTTTCATAATTCAATCTCTCCACAAAAGTTTGAAGAGTATCTCTATTCATCTCAATCCTTTGTTCTTAATATCTTTCTGGTGGCAAATCTCCAAAATAATATTAAAATAATCTCTTTATCCAAGTCACTTTAGTATTGTTGCATTTAATTTCTTTATCAAATGTGACATTTAACATAATGACAATTAACACAAATGGAACCATACAATGAAAGGCAGTTGTCATTAGAATCGCAGAACAAATGTTTTGATACAACAGAACCAAAGTACAATGACATTTAGCAAAAATAGAAGCAAAAATGAGAAAAGGAAGAGGAAGTCAAAAACTTTCTTGGAAGTATCCCCTGGGCTTAACATATGCATGTAATTCAGAACCAAAATAAAATTTAGGATTATAATACATATGCAACCCAAATGAAATTAAAATCTGTCAGGAGTTGAAGGCATGACAACTCTTTTAATACCCCAGGAGCTTAAAAACACACATATAACTATATTCTGTGATTAAAGTAAGGTCATTTATAGGTCAGAAACAGACATTTTCTTAAAAACCACTTTGCGTAAATATTTTTCTTCGCAGAAGCTAAGGACTAGAAGCAACACGCACTGACACTTAAAAATAAAATAATGCAATAAAATAAAGTATAAATAAAATATAACATACTCGAGCCCTATTGTTTTCAGGTGCTGGCCAATCAGACGCACAATATCTTGACTTGTCTTGTCCATTATCTTCGCAGAAAATTCCCCAATTGTTCCTCCATTAAGAGCAGTGGTGTCGGGCAAAAGATCCGTGCCGTTCTTTTCACTACTCGATCCAGTGTGGTCCTCGGACACTCCATTGCGTTGCGTACAGCCATTTGCTGCTTGCTGCATCGTTGCGTCCAGCAATCGGGGCTTTTTTCGCGGTGGCGGAACCAGCCCACCGTCGTCCGACTCGCCGCTGGAGGCCAGGCTTGCTAGCGGGTCGCCGTGATGAATGTTTTTGGGGCACACAATATTTTCGGTTGAAATTTTGTGTGTAGGCAATAACGACCACTCCACGACACTACCTTCTCCACAGCTGAGCAATGTTTAGATTGTGACGTCATTGAAGAGCGCCTGGGCGGAGGACACGATGGCTAGCCATTTACTCGTCAACGATATGCTGCTTGAACATGGAGAATGAGTCTCTATCTGTAAAGTATCATATGTGGCTAACAGATGGCATAGCATTCAAGTGACTTTCCCTAATTTTGGTCTCGCAGTTCTGTATCAATAAAATGCCACTAGAGCGCACATACTGCGCCTGCATCACACTCTTCTTTGTGATGTCACAAGCGCGCGGAAACCATCTCGGCGCAGGTGGCAACGCCTCGTGAACGTTAACATTCTTGATTGAAAATAGCGAACCATTCTCTAATCTGCACTGCCTCTCGCTTTCGTTATGACATTCTATAGTGCTGGGTTCGTTAATATAAAAGAATATGCATAGGGAAATGTAAGGAAAGGAATATGCATATCAATCAATATGCAAGGGTGTTTAACACACGACATGCCGAGATTCTCTACCTTATAGTCCAGTCAGTTGGGACTGCTGTTATTCATGCACGTTATTTTAGAGGCTTATGTAGTTTCTCAAAGTACCGAGGAAGAATTTTACATTTTTTAATTTCAATTTATTCAGGTTGTTATAAATATTTTGAATTCAATACATACCGAAAATACTGCAGAAATCTATTCATGTGCGCAGAATGTTTCATAATATTAAAATTCAAGATTTGCAGATGAATGACAATACCTACTTGAAAATCACATTTCGCATGTGTGCATTCAATATTTTCTCTGTTTCCATAAAATTATAAAATAAATATTTTAAAATAGGTAATTTGTCATATTCAGAATTTTAGTTTTTGTTTGTCACGTTGCTTCGAAAACTGGGAAAAATGAAATTCGTCTTCCGTTATTTCGAAAAAAATCAAGATTGTATCACACTTATAAGAAAGGTCACAAGACCTTTATTAAGTCACATTAAAATTTCAAAATATAGGTAGATAAAAATTAGAAGCGCGTTTTTTTTTCTTTTTTTTTCTTTAGAGAGAGACAGACGGTACAGTCAGAGATAGAAGGGGGGACTATTCTCTTGATTACAAGCTACCAATATAATGCAGTGTTTACTCTATGCATGAAACAACAATTTCTATATCTATGAGTCTAAAGGTTGTTGCCAGGTCGCTACCGCCAAGTCAGTTATTTCTCTTCTCTTTTAATCTCTTTCTTAAAATTTCTTTTAACAAAATTTTTGTCTACAAAAATATTAATAAAAAGCAATTGTGTCAAAACATGTGGTCGACAAAATTCGTTTTCCTTTTCCAGATACACTGATAAAATACAACTTTTCTTCTACCTTTTCAAACAATTACGTAATGCCAACAAAAACCAAGCAAACAATAGAACATCAATTATTTGGACTAACATCTGAGAATAGGATCCATGGAAAATCTAAAAGTCTTATAAAAGAAATGTTTTTGTCCAAATGAATTAAGAGATGAATTCAGAAGAAATGTGTAAAAAATATTTTATATTTTACAATGTTACAATGTACGCATTAAATTATTCATATACAAATAGTACTGTAAAATGGGGTAGCTTTGCTTACCGGAGGTGACTGCCCTTTTTAAAAGACTGAGTTTGTTACTCCACGAATGTTTGCATTAGTTCTATGGGACAATATGGTAGCTATAAAGGTTCTAATCTATTAATTAAACAAATCGAGAAAAGTTAAATCGATTTATAGTAGGATATGAAGCCAATATGCTGTTTTTATGCCTAGAATGTGCAATCAGGCAGTTTTGATCCTTTGAGAAATACCTCCTTTAAGAAATACCCCTACCGAAATAGTGTTTGTATGTTTTTCTTCCACCAAAATGTCCGTCTCCCCGTACGTCTACTATTTGTACGGTTTTTTCCAAAATGAATTTTCACGGAAGATCTGGCCCGACTCGAAGTTCTGCGATTTTGAACAACATTCTTTAAATATGAGGGATATTTTACATTAAACCTCAGCGACATTTTCAAAATTTTCTCAAAAATAGATTTAATATTTTTCTTTAAATTTCTTCTTTGAATAGAGTGAAATACACCTATAAAGTTGGCATTAGTTCGATTTTAACTCTGAATTTTCGAAAATTACAAAATTTTGAAGTTTTTCGGCGTCTTCCTACAAGTACAATATTGAAGATAGGAATTTTTTCTTGAAATGAAATTTCCTCTCCACAATTAGTTCTTTCAATGTCATAACAACATAGGGATAGCACTAAATGTATTGCTTTTTTTTTAGCAATTTGAAAGGATAGTGTTAAATGTACTGCATAAGATGACATAAATGTAACTTTTATGTACTCTTTTGTTAAAATATTATACAAACGTATTTTTAAATATATCTCACGCTGTTTAAATAACTAGATATTTGAATACATTACTGCATTTGTGAGGAGAAGAGCTTCAAAATGATTTCCAATGAAGTTTCTCGAAAAATCAAGTTTTCTGTGAAATGAGTTTCAAATTTCACAATTATAGAAACGTTTAAACGACATTTTCTAAAAAAACGGATCCAAATTTTCATACAGGGCGAAATTTTATTCTTCTATGACATTCTTAAAGTCATATTTCAGTTCTACCATTAGAGGTGAGAAAAATTGAGAAAATGTGGGGAAAATGTACTTTGGGTGGTGGTAGATGGCAGCTGGGACAGGGTGAGGCAAAACTGAAAACCTAGCCAAGAACAAAGAAATAAAAAAACTTGTACGAGAAAGTCTTTGCCAGTCTTTAGCACCAGAAGTTATTTGCTCGTCAATGAATCGCTTGGTTTTAAAAGGTTAATTCTGCATTCTTGGCCCAAAACTTTTTTGATCAAAATATATTGCTTGACATTAAACTGGATTAAAACATCATCTAACGTACCTGGAAAATTTACTGTAATAGATAGAACTGGCACTACCGAATAGGATTTCACTGAGTGTTAAGTTTTACAAGAAAATATACTTGAGTGACACCTCGTGTGACAAAAAGGTGCCAAAACAACAAAAAAGGAGAGGAGACGAGCTCACAGCTTTGTGTCTTGTAGCCTTTACAACATTACAAATTTCCCAAAGAATTCTCAATATGATCGGTGCTACGAACACACTGAGAATCCGTGGTCTCAAGTGCGTTTTAGGACTTGGATAGTATATATTTGTAATTCATTGATTTTCTTCTGTAATAGTAAGAAGGAAATATTTTGCTTCTCTCCCTTTTCCAGCTGAAACCTTCCACCAAACGCTTGATTTTCGTGTAACATTTTATTTATTATTTTTTTTTTTTTAGTTTTGAGTCCTTTGTCCCCTCTATGGTCAATATAAATAAAAAAATCAGTTCGAAACTGGTTGGCACTGCTCTATTATTAGAGTTTGTTGGCACAGTGTCAACCAGCCTCATCCTCTATCATTTTAACAAAATAAAATAATTTTTTTGATATTTGTATTTACACCAAGAGTGAAAGCACCAGTAGTGACAACTGTTAAGAATATTTTCGTTTTACTCTCAAAATTCTCGACTCAGTAATGTTCAGTAAATATTCCACCTCTTGAAAGTGCTGAGATAAAAAATTATCTTTCACGTTACATTATTGCAATGTCAATATAAAGAATATGTTCCATTATTAAATTATTCTTTAAATATAAAATAAGAGAAAGGAAATAAATTATCTTCGTTCGAATCTTCACCACTAAAAGGCACAAACTTCACGATCTGCAAGTTTGGAGGCATTGGGATGCCTTCAATTCTTGTTTTTCAAATTGTGTATTGAAGAGGTGGCTACTGACGCAGTGGACACAACGTATATCATTACTCTACTACCTACCATATTCATAAAATGAAATTTCGTGTCATTTCTTATATTTTCATGAGCATAAAAAGTATTTTCAAATAGAACTTACCTTTTCATGGTATTTCTAGTGAGATGCGCTGCTATGTACCCGTGTTTCGGCCCACTTCGGCAGTATTGATTTGAGTACCTTTTTTATACGAAATACGAGTATGTTGATGATATTCTTCAATTATCCATTGACGAATACTGATTATCCATACAGGCGATATGGACAACTTCTTGGTTCCTTTCAATTCGGCATTTTAGATCACGTTAGAGAGAGAAATTGTTCAATGTCTGTATTTCGTAGATACTACGGTGGACCGTCGTGAAGCAGAATTATTACGAAGTGGTTTCCGAGAGCTTGTGCTACGGGACGAATGAACACTTCTTTTCAGCCTTTGCACCAAAAGAGGGGAGTAATTTATTGTTTCGTAGTTAGGGCTATCAAGTTCTCGCATGAATCTTGTCATATTAGAAATCTTAAAATTGTCTCTAGGATATTGATTGAGAACAATTATCTTGAAGCACTCATTTTCAAATGTATCGCGAAATGACGTTATATTTTGAAAAATGGGAATCGATATTCTTTTATTAATTATACTGATTTATTAAACAAAAATAAAATCAATGAACAGCCTTGATGTTTGTTTCCAAAACCGTTCATTAATTAAAGAATGTACCGGACACAATATCAATGCCAAGGTTATCAGAAAGAATATAAATAAATGAAAACTCATTTAAAAACGTGAAGATCCTGAGTAAGAGGCAGTCCCATAGCTTGAGTCAGAAAATGTCAATTATTGCATTTTAGATTGTCCCGTATCCTATGTATTGGTCAAACCAAGAGGAAATAACAACAAAAACAAAAGAGCAACAACTTAATGTAAAGAAAAAGAGATCTCACCTGAACTCGATTTCATGTTATCGTGACTAATCATCTCATATTTTCAATTTTCATGAACATATTTTATTGGGCAGAGAGCCTAGGACGAATTCTTGCCTTATTTCTGAAACACTGCAAATAAAAATACACGAAACAAATAACACTAATTTGCAGTCAATTCCTTTTATCTCGGTTTACGATAATTTTTGATGAAAATGAAAAACAAGATGGATTATATACTTACAACCTAGTTTCTTTCGCATTCTTTATATATAATATTATCGTTATGAATTTTCTTCTTGATTCATTCTTTTCCTTGACATTCCTCCTCTCCA